TGAAACTTGCATGTATAAATAAGCAAATAACTGTTCAAGATAAAAATTCATAAAAAAAAAAAAAAAAAAAATGGTCTCAAATTAAATTTTTTTTTTATTCTCCTATCACATATTTTTGCATAATCTTTGCATCACTATACATGTACATATTTTTCTTCTCATTCATCTCTTTGTTTTATATGATTATTACTTGTCTTTTTGTTTTTGTTATTCGTGAAAAAATGGGGAGAGATGTGTATTTATTACAGGGAGAAGATTATATGCGTTAGGTGGAGAATTTTAAGGAAATTGAAATTTTTGATTGATAGATGACTTAGGAGGAGCTATTTGATATATTTGTTGAAATTTTATTATTGATATAGTGTTGTGTATTTTCTATATTGATATAAAATTCTATGATTTATTTTTAAGCCCCTGTTGGGTAGGAATTAAAATTAGACTTTTAGTATATTTTAATAGAAGTTGATGAAATATGTGCTTGAAAAGTTGTGGAACCCATAAAATATGTTGTTAAAATTAATTGTTGACTTTGAATTAAAATTTAGATTTAATTGGTACCAAACAAAGCTTAAGTTTATAATTCACATGATATTGCATGCTTCGGTGTTACACATATTTTATTATCTTGTTTTATATAACTTAATTATATGATCTTAGTTGTTAGTTTCCTCTTGCTTTTCACGTGGTATTGTGGTTTTCATGTGTTTCAGAAATATGTTGACAAGTTATTGAAGTGTAGTTTGAAAAGTGTCTACTGAGTAGATTGTAATAGACTTTTGATTGTGAAATAAATGATTTTGTCACGAAATGACAAAGGAAGAGATTGTTGAGTCCGAATTGTAACTAGCAATTTCATGTTAGAAGTTTATCGAGTTATAATAAAAGTCAAAATAGTTAAGAATTGATAGTATTGGTCTTGAAGGAGTTCAAGATGTCAAAGATATCCACAAAGATCAAATATCATTAAGGGAATGCAATTAGAAGTCTGAAGTGTGTCAAAGAATCACCCAAATTATGCTCCAAATTCTTAGTCGTAACTTGCAACGCATTTTTCATATAGAAAACTTTCAAATTTGGAGAATGCTATTCAAAAGAATTGTAGCATTTAGAGTTATCTTTCCAACGTACCTTGAATCACCTCAATCCGATAATGGGAGAGAAGGTTATGTGGAAAATCCCGACGACTGCTCAACTGCTGCTTGCCTAGTGCTAGCCTAGCACTCGAGCAACGGATTCAGAATTCTGTTTTGCTTCAAATACTGATTTTTCAATTCCTTTTCATCCCAAACACTTTAACCTATATTTATCTTACCATATGAATGTCCTAAATTATGTTGAATCATAATTATTCCATAGAGTTCATTTCTTTGAAGATCCAATTCACTTTCATTGGTTTCAAAATTCAACCCGCATATTATTTTATTCATAGATTCTTCCAAACTTAGATTTGTTGATCGAACTATAAACGGCTATACTAAACCATAGATCAAAATACACAAGATCGTAAGTTTATCAAACACCAAACCTGCCTTTGCCAATTAGCCTTTAGAGTTACTAAAAACTTGGGAAGATAGGAGAACTAGGTTCCATTGGAAGAATGAGGTTTGTTCTAGGGGATCCACAGAAGATAAATGATACCAAGGGTTGGGAGCTAGTGTGAAGAGCACTACAGGAAGAAGGTTAAAGGGGGACTAAGAGTTAATCGGGTCTAGACCATATTGTAAGTCTCAACATTTATAGTGAATTATTGACTAAGAAAGTGTTTGAAATTTTTACCCAGTTGGGGTTTTTTGGTGATCAATTTGGTGTTCTTTATCGCTTTTATATTACAAATTATGGTAATTGAACATATAATAAATTGACGTGATTGATTAATCATCTAAACACAATTAAAAAATGACTTACTTATTTTAATTGTGTAATTCCACTTGTTGGGTCTAAATAAATCGATCATCAAACTTTCAATATGGTACCGAATCACTATCACATTGTCCAAAGTCTAAAAACACATTCAAGATTTATTAAACTATATGGGACTAACCCTACTCTCACATAAATAGGCAATTATCTAGACTTTTAATAAATGACATTACTATTTTTCAAACGCATATCCATTTATTATTCTTAATTTTCGTTTTAATTTCCTCTCTGTCTAGTAGAATAAGCAATATTTGATTAAAATGAGAGAAAGTCCGTCCTTGATTCGAATTGCATCATTTGGTTGGCCTTTTGTTGAAATAGAAAACTAACAAAAATTTAATGATGTGGGTTAATTTTTCATAAAGGAGTAATTGGGAAATTTGAACATGTACTTTTTGCGTGTCTTTGGTTCCATGTTAATAAAAAGGATAAAAAAATTTGTACCCACACATTTGTATAAATATTTTACTCATTCTTACGTACACTTGAGCCCCACATGAAATAAAAGTTGCCAACATGTGGCCCCCCACTCATTCATTGTGAGCGCAAGTAAACTATTTTGTATAAAAGTGTGTGTACATCTAGCACTCTCCTAATAAAAAATGTCAAGTCGGCAAACTAAATTGTGGATGTGATTGACAAGAAGTTCATTTGACTAGGAAAAAAAAAAGACAAAATAAAGAAAAAATTTAAGGAATTAAAGAAAAGTATAAGAAAAAAAAGAGGGGAAAGGGTTTTATTTGCCCAAACCCCCAGCTTAGCCATCCAAACCCCCTAAACCCAAGATCCATCAACACTCTCATCTTTAGGTGACTTTAATTGATTTGTTATTTTAATTAACATCTTAAATGTCTTAAATGTAGAATTTCAGACGACAAATCAATTAATGCAACATCATCAATGATCAGTAAGCATAGCTTATGAATGTCAATAATCTTATTTTTAACACTTGTACAATCTTCAAAATATGCAATTTTATAAATGAATGAATTGAACTCATACGTTAACCCACATCTTCTCAAGGCTTAAGTTTTTAGGTTATATTTTAGTCTTTCGCATTTTTCAATGTTAGAAGATTTTCTTTGATTATTTGATACCAAAAAAATTGTTAAATTTATATCGAAATTACTTGTATCCCTAGTTGAGCATTACTTAATATATCTTAAATATGTCTTGCCAGGGTAGTACTTGAAGAGATCTTCAACAATTTCAGCAAGACACGGGAACTTGTGGAGAGCATTTTGAACGTTGGCTTAGGTCGTCCTCCCAATTTTCTCAAGGAGCACAAATGATAGAAGTGGGGATCTTATGTCGACTATGTGCTACTTCCAGACATTGGGATATCGAAACTTGAAGACTCTAGCTGCATCTCTTTTATTTTCCAAGATGAAGTTGGAGATCTTAAGGTTCTTAAGAATGGAGAATGGACTCCAAATGTTTTCGTTGAAGGCGCAATAGTAGTCAATGTAGCCGATGTCATTTAGGTAATCTTTATTTTCACTAGGGGTGGATATGATTCCATTTGGTTCTGGTTCTAAGAGATTGAACCGAACCATGAACCAATTATTTTTTGATAATGGAACCAAAAGATTTTTTTTAAGATATGAAACCAATCTAGAACCGAACCATTCAGTTTAGGTTTGATTCTTGTTTCAGTACTAGTACTGATTGGGGAAAAAAGTAAGAACAATCGAGGAAGAAGAACCGATTTTCGAGGCTTCAATTTCAGAAATCCATGCGACGTTAGTGGTTGAACACCTCAGTTGAAGACAAGTGGTAGTTGTTGATTTTCATGTGAGAGTCAGTGTATAAATTGAAAATGAGAGAAAATGATACATGAATTAGGACCTGAATCTCCAAAATGAATTAGGGTCTCTAGTCTCTACATTGAGAAATAAGCAATCAAAGATACATGATGTGTATATATATATATATATATATATATATATATATATATATATATTCTTCATGTGCATGTCATTCTCTGCTGTACCCATAAATTATTTTTACAAGAAAAAAGGCCAAATAAATGGAATTTTGATGTTATGGTATAACACGGGAAAAAAATATATCTTAATCTTCGTTCATTCAATGGATAATCAAATATTTAGAATCGACAATTTTTTGACTTTTAAAAAGATTTACGAAACAGTCTACAATAGACATTTTACTAATTCATAACCAGACTCCGAAAGGTACCCCAAATCTTCCTTTTAATGAACAAAACCATGAACTCTACTTGCTTGAAATTGCAAAATAACCCCTAAACCGTTAAAAATAATAAAACATCTTAATTTTGCTATCATGTGCCAATCTGTTTACATACATATTTTCGTTCGTAAGTGCGATAAAATTTTAAATTAAAATATGTGCCCGCCATATATAAAATATAGAACCTCACCTAAAAGTTTATAATAACATTAGGATTTGAAGGACAACCAGCATAACGAAACCTACCACTATTCTTTAATCTGACAAGTCGTTAAGAATACTTTCTATAAACTATGATGATCAATAAAAAATTCTAATGTTAAAATTTTATTTCCTGACACTGACTAAAATGGCTCTTAGAATTCTTAAATAATTTCTAACATTGAGTAAAGTTATAACATTTTTGGCGCAAAGCCTATAAACTTTTGTAATTTTGAGAAAATCATTCATTTAAGAAGTCATCAGACCTTTTTCGGATGGAATGGACTTTTTTAAAGAGAGTCGATGATTGTTGGATATTGTAATTTGACATTACTACACCTCAAAGAGATCTAAACATCTTAGTTGATGAAATTATAAGTTTTATTTTGATTAATATTTTTAATTTCTTGATTAATTTTCCTAATTATTTTATTGGGATTACTTTATAAATCTTTTAAACAGAGACTAATTAAAATCTACTGCTTCATTGAATATTGGATAGAATTTTTGGTTTTATCTAAAAATAATGTATAGCCAGTTTGCTACTTCTGTATGTTTTTTTCAGCTCACTTGGAGCTTTTTGATTGGACTTCCTTAACTTTGTTGGGATAAGATGAACTGGACCATTTCGGCAGCTTTGTTAGGACAACAGTTCAAAACAAAACAACATGGAAAATGACCCTTTTGTCACTGGTTTAAACTGTGATATGGGATGTTTACTTCTTTTGGATTTTGGAATATCTCAGGGTAAATTCAATGCCCACCTCAAAAAAGATGTGGTTTTTATTAGTGAATCATATTATTTTGAAGATGTAGAATGTCAACTTGTTAAGAGAAATAGAGAAAAACTCTTAAATATTGATCATTCTTATATGTATTTAAGTGATGTGAAATTTTGACTCATTTGAAAATACTATTATCTGAATTTGTTCATTTATTTGAATTTTGGATAGATCGTATTATTTGATTGAGCTTTTCGGACTCTAATATCACATTGAGTATTACGTCCATTTGGGTTTCATTTTTTGTTACTAAAATTCTACTTTTCAGAAAAACGAGGGCTTGATAAGTGGATAATACTTATGAATATTACGAATTTGTGGTTAAAATTAACATTTGACTTTTAGAAGGAGAATTTAAGGAGAAAAAACGAATCACAAACATAGGCTTAGACTACTTCTTAAATTTGTGGAGCTAGAGACAACATTTTTAATTAGTGATGTAGAGTATCAACCACCTTGCTCATAAGTGACACCTCATGGCCTAACACAATCTACCATATATCACTCATAATCAAGTTTGGAAATCCATCCCAAACATGATTTTGCATTACCCACTCACTTCTCCGGGAATGCTCCAACATTGAATCGAACATGGGGCCTCCTGCTTTGATACCAACTAATGTAAGATATGTCATACTTTACTCAATAGTTATAGTTCATGCTACTAACAAAATCTACCCTATATAACATAGAATCGAGTCCGGAAATCCACCTCAAATCCACTTCCGTTGGTCTCACCCTCGATTTAAACAAGCTCCTACAATAGAATTAGTTACTTAATATATAAAGAAGTTTTATGTCACTCAGCAAACTTTACTTTGTTTTGATATGATCACTGTAGGTTTCTTTCTGATTCAGTATAATAATTGAGTTAAAATTCTTTAATGTTTGCTGCCAGAATATCTAGCAGAAAAACCCTCCACGATGAGCTGTCTTCGGGAGCAAAGGCTGTGGTGCTAAAAGAAGCTGCACTAAAAACTGGTCCACAAACGCCAATCACATGGGAACACATTATCCAACTAAAACCTAACTGGATTTTGACAATCAATTGTTGCTTCATTAGACAAACAATTTATCAAATGTTGCATGATTTTGGGCACAACGTTTGATTTCTTCATGTGCATGTCATTCTCTGCTGTACCCATAAATTATTTTTACAAGAAAAAAGGCCAAATAAATGGAATTTTGATGTTGCGGTGTAACACAGGGAAAAAAAAATCTAAATCTTCGTTCATTCAATGGATAATAAAATATTTAGAATCGACAATTTTTTGACTTCTAAAAAGATTTACGAAACAGTCTACAATAGATGTTTTACTAATTCATAACCAGACCTCCAAAATGTACACCAAATCTTCCTTTTTAAAGAACAAAACCATGAACTCTACTTGCTTGAAATTGCAAAATAACCCCTAAACCGTTAAAAATAATAAAACATCTTAATTTTGCTAAAATAAAATAAAAAGAAAAAGAAAAAGAAAGCAATTAAATAAAGCCTTGCATCCATCTTTGATTCTTTATCAACGTATATTTATTTGAAGACTAAAACATAAAATTTACGTAAAATAATTTTGCATTTGAGTATCTAAATAAATCATAAAATAAATACTTTTGTTTTTGGTTAAAAATTTAGAACAAGTAAGATGGACACTTTGAAGATAATCTTTATCCGGCTCTAAATAAAAAGAAGTTTTTTTTCCACTTATAAGTAGAAAAAGATAATTTATTTAAATGTGCTTCGAAATTAAAAGTATTGTTAACTTAATTACTATAAACTTTGCTGAACATGATCATGAAGTTTTATTAGCAATTCAAGATAGTGTGCTTATGTTTTTTTTTTTATTTATTATTTTTTTTTAACGAGGTGTCCCTGCTTGCGCCAGACTATATCCTCGTCCCTGAACCTCCGGCCCCTCAGCTGTTCAGGGAGGTAAATCGCAGGATGTGCCCTTGTTGGTTCTCAGGTTCCCACATGGCTTTTACTCCTTCCCCAAAGGAAGCCTCCTCCATGATGATTAATCCACCAATAATTCCTCCTTTATTGGATCAAAGGTTC